GTTCGTGTCCTGGACCCGGTGGCTTAAAACTCACGCCGGGCGCGTGTGCGTGTGTGCCCAAGATCCCAAGAGGAGAATGGAGGAGAAGGGATTGCGGCGTGACCATCCCCCCTGGGGGGTGATTTCTCGCTTTCTGTCTCTATGTCTCTCTCTGTCTGTCTGGTGAGCGCACGCGCCCTACAGTGAAAATCTCTCAAAAAAAATAATAACAGCAAATAAAATGAAATAATTCTTAAAACAAAACAAAAGAAACATCATTTTGTGTCACTTCTGAGCTCAAAAGCTTTGAAAGGCTTCCTATCACTCAAAGTCTACGATAGTTATTAGGGCTCCAGCTGATTTGCCCCCTGCTCTGTCTGATCTCATCAGGTACCATTTCATTCCTCACTGTAGTCCAGAATCACTCGTAGGTCTTAACACAGAAGTTGAGCCCTACCTCAGAGTTTCTGGTTCATTGATCTGGGGTGGACCAGAGATCTTAATAAATCCCCAGGTGATACTGATGCTGGTCTTGAGGAGAGCCATACTTCACAAACCACTGATCCAGCCACATCAAACCATTTTGGTATACCTGCCTGCCTTAGGGATTCTGCACTTGTCCCTCCCTCGGCCTGGAGACCCTCACCTCAGATATCAGCGTGGCTTGTTCCCTTCCCTCCCTCCAATGTCATATTCTCAGAGATCCTTCCTGACCTTGTTACTAAAAGTCACATCCTTGGGCCAGCTGGTGGCATGGTGGTGGTGAAGGCAGCTGGGTCTCACATGGCCAACTGTGAGTCAAACTGGGCACGTGTGTGTGCGTGCCAAAAATTCTGAAAGGAGAAGTGAAGAAGGGGGTTATGGTGTGACCACTCCCCATGGGGGGGGTGCTCCCTTCCTCCCCACCTCCCTTTAGTGCACACACTCTCTGACAAGGCCAACTTAAAGACCCACACCCCATTCTTAGCATTCCTAATTCTTTTTTGCAGCTGTGTTTTCTCCACAGCACTTAACGTACTCTGTTTTGCCTTCTCTCACTAGCCCATCAGCTAGAGGCAGGGCTGGCTGACTGCTCACTGCATTCATTGCCTAGAACAGTGCCTGACCCATAGGAGGTAATCAACATGTCCTTGCTGGGTGAACGAATGGGAAGGCGGCACTGACTTTGTAAAGTTGCTGGATTAATGAGTTAACAGGTGTTGGGCACTGGGTCTGGAGTAAGTCTCAATGATGTTTGCTGCTGCTGTTGTTGCTGTTATTATTATTAGAGGGGGGCTGCAACATCTGGCACACTGTTGTGGAGATCCTGGGGCTTCATCAGGATGTTTTTCCTTCTAGTTGCATCGGACATGGGATTTGCTCTCTACAGAAGGTTCTTTGTTCCTGCAAATGGCTCTCCGGTGAGTTTAGTTTATTTTAATAATAACAACTATTATTATTTGTTATTATTTTTAAAAATTTGACCAGAGAGAGAGGGAAAGTGAGAAAGAAAGCTGCTGAATCTTGAACTCAAATGAGGTCAGCCATGTGAGAATCCAGTGCCTTAACCTCCAGGCCACCTGCTGGCCCCACTTCCACTTATTATATTTTAAAAATAATTATTTAATTTTATTCATTTCTTCTTCTTCTTCAATTTGACCAAAGAGAGAAAGCAAGTTGCCAGGTCTGGGACTCGAACCATGGTCGGCCATGTGGGAGTCCAACGCCCCAACCACTGTGCCACCTGCCGGCCCCTTTATTTTGTAAAAAAAAAAAAAAAAAAAAAAATTATTCATCAAAAAAGTGTCTTCAAATAGGGGTTATAACTGTGACTTAGGGCAGTCAAGTTTCCATTTGGAAGCTAAGAAGATGCCTAAGGAAATCAGATATTTTGGATTGTCCTTGTCACTTAACACTCATAGCCCTGACCTCTGGACTTGACTTTGCTACACCTACTATACTGGTAAGCCGTTCCAGAATAGGAGAGATGGTATTTCCCTGCCACAGAGAATGAAAACCAGATTCAAAAATAGCATGATAAGTTGGGTCGGTAGGAAAAACTGACAGATTTCTAGTTTTGCTGGGGTTCGTCTTTGAATTTGGGAGTTTTTGTTTAAGTATCTCTGTGCATGTTATTACTGATGCTTTAACTCTGTGAGGGGTCTATAGCGATCCCTCTTTGGTATTACAGAACACTAACCTAAATGCAGTGATGACTGAGAAGAATGAGAAACAATGGCTGTGTCTTGTGTACTTAAGAGAGTGGGTGCCAACGGTATTTTAGCTTTCACGTTTTAGGGTATCACCTCTCTGTACACATGCGGTTTTGTGTCTCTTCAATCTTATTCCCTAGTTTCCAGACTTTTTTTAACATACGTATTTTGCTATAGGGTGCTTGTGCTCACCAGAGAGAAAGAGAGAGAGAGAGAGAGAGAGAGAGAGACAGACAGACAGACAGACAGAAAGTGAGAAACCCCCCAGGGGGGACAGCCACACCGCAATCCCTTCTCCATTCTCCTCTCGGGATTTTGGGCACACACGCCATGCATCCAGCATGAGTTTTAAGCCACCGGGTCTGGGACTTAAACAGAGGTCAACTACATGGGAGGTCAGCAATGTAACCATTACTCCATCTGCTGGTCCCAGTTCTCCAGACATTTTTTTTTAAATAAAGATAATTATTTAATTTTATTTATGATGATTATTATTACTTTTAATTTGCTACAGGGCATATGCACTTACAAGAGAGAGAGTCAGAGAGAAAGAGAGAAAATGAGAAAGCAAACCACCAGGTCTGAGACTCGAACCACGGTCATCCATGCAGGAGTTCAGCACCTTAACCATACCACCTGCTGCTCCCCAGTTCTCCAGACTTTTAAGACCCTTGTTTGAATGGAATAGCATTTATGTTTCAATAAGAGAGAGACAAATGAAATATACAATTTGCATTTTCTTTACTCACTTCCACTCCACTGCACTTTCCTCCAAAGGTGTCTTTCGCTGCTCACATCGCAGGTGGATTTGCTGGAATGTCCATTGGTTACACCGTGTTCAGCTGCTTTGACCAGGCACTGCTGAAAGACCCCAGGTTCTGGATAGCAATTGCAGCTTATTTAGCTTGTGTCTTATTTGCTGTGTTTTTTAACATTTTCCTATCCCCAGCAAACTGACCTGCCCCTAATAGAAATCAACTAATAAAAAGTGCCATCTGGGGCAGCGAATGGAACTCTCTGAAGAAACAGAGGAGTCTCGGCAAATGTTTAGAGTTTAATCCAGAGGACAGAACAACATGCATACTCATAAGGACTGCTTACGAAAAGACCTTAGGATGGAAGGAAGGGGCTTCTGAATGCAAAGGGATGGAAGAGGAAGAGAAAAAGAGAAGGGTAATAAAACCAGGGGCTAGGGCTTTTCCAGGCACACGGTATGCAAATATGTATCCCATAAAAGACGCTTTTTCTCCTTGGATGATATATTTTGAAGATTGCTTGTTCCACAAGTACTATACTATTCTGATAATAAAAACTTTTCATACTTGTGTCAGGCTCTTGACAATCTTTAAAAAATTTTTTTAAATGGGAGAGAGTGAGGGAAGACGGAGAGGGAGGAAAAGGTGGCGAGAGTGAGAAGTATTTTAGACAGGGTCTCACTCTGCAGTTTCCCAGTTAGCTAGGACCGGATGTGTGTGCCACTGAGCCAAGCCTGCTATGATTGGGCTAGGATTTGAACCTTGGGCTCGCATGAGGCCTCAGCCACCACACAGTAGCACCTTCCCACCGGTACTACCATGTCTAGGTTGGTAAGTGGTTTTCAAAAGGGAAACACTCCAGTACATAGATCACTATTATTTGAAGTACTTTTTGTACTTACCTGCTACTCTTTTAGACAACCCAGAAAGGTAGGTAGTACTCTGTATCTTAGAAATGAAGATGTGAAGCTCTTTTTAAATATCAAGTGCTTGGGGCCAGCAGGTGGCATGGTGGTTAAGGCACTGGACTCCCACATGGCCAACCGTGGTTACATCCTGGACCCAGCGCCTTGGAGGCACGTTTTCCCTCCCTCTCTCTCTCTCTCTCTCTGGTCAAATTAAAAACAATAATGATAATGATAAAAAATTACATAAAAAATAATTCTTAAAAAGAAATCAAGTGCTTGTCTGAGGGAGGCAGAATTTAAATACAGATCATTTAGAGCCCACAGTCTCCCCCACTGGCTAGAGTCCCCAAATACTGAAACTTATAGCGTCATAGGAGTATAAGAAAATGTCGGTAGTTAAACCATGAACAGTAGAAATACCTGACAGAGGAAGACTGAGAATTTTCTGCACTGCTAGTTTAAGATTCTAACAGTGGGTCTAAGATCTCAAGGAACTGGGGCCTGGCTTTCTGGGCCACACTGTGTACCCAGACTCTGGATTCTCCTCTGTGGTAAGATTCCCATCCTTTTCACGGACAGTGGCTCTCCTAGAACTGGGTAGGTTTATGTAAACAGGTGAAATGTCATATTTGAAAGCTGAGAAGCCTTTATCCTTTTTTCTGTGTAAAATCCTGAGACTGTTGATCGTCTGTTTTCTTTTTTGGAGAGGTTTTTGCTATAGGGCACTTGTGCTCATCAGAAAGACAGAGAGACAGAGACAGAAAGCGAGAAATCACCCCCCAGAGGGGATGGCCACGCCGCAATCCCTTCTCCTCCATTCTCCTCTTGGGATCTTGGGCACACATGCACATGTGCCCGGTGTGAGTTTAAGCCAACGGGTCCGGGACGCGAACCGCAGTCAGTTATATGGGAGTCCAGCAACACAGCCATTACACCGACTGCTGATCCCCTATCGTTCTGTTTGAAATAATATACTGTTTTAGGCTAACTGAACGAAGGAAATACAATCTCTCTTCTTGCATTATCAATATATTTTACTTATTTTACTTATTGAATAACTATCTAGATGTAATATTCTGAAAGGAGCACATTCATTAGATACAGTGAGAAAAGTTAGTATCTTAGCATTTTGAGAAAAACTGATTTGGGATTTTTTTTTTTTTTGAGAGATTTTTGCTATAGGGTGTGTGAGATAGACAGAAAGTGAGAAGTCATCCCCTCAGAGGGATGGCCACACTGCAACCCTTCTCCATCCTTTCAGGATTTTGAGCAGGCCTGCACACATGCTTGGTGTGAGCTTCAAGCCTCTGGGTTCAGGACTCGAACCATAGGCGGCCAGTGGGAGTCCAGTGACATAACCATTATGCCATCTGCTGGTCCCTCCATTTATATTCTTACTTACAGTATGTGAGAATAACACCTTTGCCCTACTTTGCCAAAAGAAGGTATTATAAATCTTGAAATTTTTGTGTTTTAATAGTTTAAAAACAATACTTCATTTAAATTTGCATTTCTCTGACTGCAGAGGTTGGGTAATTTTCAAGTTTGTTAATACTTTATATATTACACACAATATGTGATTTACACAATACATAACATATAGTTTATATATATGTGTGTGTGTGTATGCACACACACAAATTTCCTTGATGAATTATTTGCATTTAATCTGAAAAGTAGCTATTAGTTGCCAAAGATGTCCAGGATGTAAGTATTCATTTGCTGTGGCCAAACCACGAGGTCATTAGCTCTCATGGGAACTTTCATGACCAAAGTACAATGTAATTGTCGAGAACAGTATATTAGGCACATCATTTATTTAACCATGAAATTGAACTATGATTATTAACATAACCCACTGATTATTATTTACTTATTTTACTTTGCTATAGGGTGAGTGTGCTCACAGGGGAACAGCGAGAGAGAGAGAAAGAGAGAGGAAAAGTGAGAAGTCACCTCCTGGGGTATGACCACGTGGCGATCCCTTCTTCTCCACTCTCCTTTGGGGTTTTGGACACGCATACACACATACCCAGCGTGTTTTTCAAGTTGCTGGGTTTGGGACTCACAACCACGCCATCAGCCACGTGGGATCCAGCCACCTTAACTACCATGCTACCTGGCTGGCTTGAATGATTAAGGCTGATGGCTAAGAAGTTATAATCTAAAGAGAAAGACTTTTTCGTACTAGAAACTTGGTTCAGATGACCAGAAACAGCAAGATTTGCTTGGGCTGCCTAGTAGCAAAAATTATAGTGAAAAAAAAAAGCAAACAATATTTCCTGGCATTTGACATCTCTGAGTTAGAGAGGAACCATTTGCTAGGCATAGTTTGCAGTTGATAAATTCAATCTACGCTGCACTGTTATTAGTAACACTGGGAGCCTTCGGCATCTGGGTTGTCTAATAAGGAAGCCAGTAGGCACACATAGCTCTTTGGATTTTTATTAAAAGTAAATGCAATTTAAAATTCAGTCGATCGGATTTGTAACCAGATTGCATGTATTCGATAGCTATGTGTGGCTAGTGGCTTCTTTATTGGATGGTGCAGATAAAGAGTATTCCCACTGCTGCAGAAAGGACTATTGGACAGTGTTTAGAAGCAAGAATGAGCAGAAAGGAAGATGGATTTTAATTGATGGCTGACTCGCTGCACTGTACTGAACTGAATCTGCTCTACAGCTGCAGAGGGGTGGATTCAGAGAGCAAGGAGGAGATGCCATGGCATAATTCCTACG